TGGGGCGTGGTCGTGCTGGGGTGTGGTCGTGCTGTGGTGAGGTCGTGCTGGGGTGTGGTCGTGCTGGGGTGTGGTCTTGCTGGGGTAGGGTCGTGCTGGGGTCGGGTCGTGCTGGGGTGTGGTCGTGCTGGGGTATGGTCGTGCTGGGGTGGGATCGTGCTGGGGTGGGGTCGTGCTGGGGTCTGGTCGTGCTGGGGTGTGGTCGTGCTGGGGTATGGTCGTGCTAGGGTGGGGTCGTGCATTTCGCTCGAGACATCCTGCCAAAATTCCAGGAAATCGCACAAAAACAAACGAATTTGTCGAGACATCCTCGGAATTCCTGCGCGAGGAGCGCTTTTCCGTGTCGCGGTCGGCTCTGCAAAACCAGCGTTTCGCTCGAGACATCCTCAACAAATTCTGAAAACACGCGTTTCGCTCGAGACATCCCCAACTCTGCAAAACCAGCGTTCCGCTCGAGACATCCTCAACAAATTCTGAAAAACAAGCGTTTCGCTAGGGACATCCTCAATTTTTAATTCGCCGGCCCTACGCGACCTCGTTATTTATCGCAAAAGAAATTTGCCGGCCCTACAGCCGTCAAAACCGGGGGGAAACCAACTAAAAGAGAACCCTGGGCCTTTGCCCTTTCCGGGAACATGATGGACCCACGAACCCGGAAAGGGATATAGACATGTGGAGCATGGAAACGTTTTTCACGATACCCAACTGGGCAACACCTCACGAAACATCCCACGAGACACTTCACGAAACATCCCACGAGACACCCCACGAAACATTCCACGATACACCTCACGAAACATTCCACGAGACACCCCGCGAAACATTCCACGAGACACCCCACGAAACATTCCACGACGACAGGCAACCACTCAACCAAGGCGGTGTGGTCGTGCTGGGGAGTGTTCGTGCTGGGGTGTGGTCGTGCTGGGGGGTGGTCGTGCTGGGGGGTGAACGGCTGGGAGGGTGGTCGTGCTGGGGGGTGGTCGTGCTGGGGCGTGGTCGTGCTGGGGCGTGGTCGTGCTGGGGCGTGGTCGTGCTGGGGCGTGGTCGTGCTGGGGTGTGGTCGTGCTGCGGTGGGGTCCTGCTGGGATGTGGTCGTGCTGGGGTGTGGTCCTGCTGGGGTGTGGTCGTGCTGGGGTGGGGTCGTGCTTGGGTGGGGTCGTGCTGGGGTGTGGTCGTTCTGGGGTGTGGTCGTGCTGGGGAGTGGTCGTGCTAGGGTGGGGTCGTGCTGGGGTGGGGTCGTGCTGGGGTGTGGTCGTGCTGGGGTGTGGTCGTGCTGGGGTGTGGTCGTGCTGGGGCGTGGTTGTGCTGGGGTGTGGTCGTGCTGGGGTGGGGTCGTGCTGGGGTGTGGTCGTGCTGGGGTGGTCCGCACCCTGTGATTTATCGATCGGGTCGTGCTGGGGTGTGGTCGTGCTGGGGTGTGGTCGTGCTGGGGTGTGGTCGTGCTGGGGTGTGGTCGTGCTGGGGTGTGGTCGTGCTGGGGAGTGGTCGTGCTGGGGTGTGGTCGTGCTGGGGGGTGGTCGTGCTCGGGGGTGGTCGTGCTGGGGGGGTGGTCGTGCTGGGGGGTGGTCGTGCTGGGGCGTGGTCGTGCTGGGGCGTGGTCGTGCTGAAGCGTGGTCGTGCTGGGGTGTGGTCGTGCTGTGGTGAGGTCGTGCTGGGGTGTGGTCGTGCTGGGGTGTGGTCTTGCTGGGGTAGGGTCGTGCTGGGGTCGGGTCGTGCTGGGGTGTGGTCGTGCTGGGGTATGGTCGTGCTGGGGTGGGGTCGTGCTGGGGTGGGGTCGTGCTGGGGTCTGGTCGTGCTGGGGTGTGGTCGTGCTGGGGTATGGTCGTGCTAGGGTGGGGTCGTGCATTTCGCTCGAGACATCCTGCCAAAATTCCAGGAAATCGTACAAATTTTAATTCGCCCGGCTCGTTATTTATCATGGGAAAAATTCGCCGGCAATTCGCCGGCTCGTTATTTATCAGGGAAAAAATTCGCCGGCAATTCGCCGGCTCGTTATTTATCAGGGAAAAAATTCGCCGGCCTCCTTCAAGCAGGCACCGGGGGACAGGTTTACCTAGTAAAAGAGAACCCTGGGCTCGTGCCCTTTCCGGGAACATGATGGACCCACGAACCCGGAAAGGGATATAGACATGTGCAGCATGGTCACGTTTTCACGATATCCAACTGGGCGACACCTCACGAAACATCCCACGAGACACCCCGCGAAACATCCCAGGAGACACCTCACGAAACAACCCACGAGACACCTCACGAAACATTCCACGAGACACCCCGTGAAACATTCCACGAGACACCCCACGAACAGGCAACCACTCAACCAGACACCCCACGAAACATTCCACGGGGGTGCGACTGGGTGTGGTCGTGCTGGGGCGTGGTCGTGCTGGAGTTTGGTCGTGTGGGGTGTGGTCGTGCTGGGGTGTGGTCGTGCTGGGGTGTGGTCGTGCTGGGGTGGGTCGTGCTGTGGGGGTCGTGCTGGGGTGTGGTCGTGCTGGGGTGTGGTCGTGCTGGGGTGGGGTCGTGCTGGGGTGGGGTCGTGCTGGGGTGTGGTCGTTCTGGGGTGTGGTCGTGCTGGGGTGTGGTCGTGCTGGGGTGGGGTCGTGCTGGGTCGGGGTCGTGCTGGAGTGTGGTCGTGCTGGGGTGTGGTCGTGTTGGGGTGTGGTCGTGCTGGGGCGTGGTCGTGCTGGGGTGGGGTCGTGCTGGAGTGGGGTCGTGCTGGGGTGTGGTCGTGCTGGGGTGGTCCGAACCCTGTGACTTATCGATCGGGTCGTGCTGGGGTGTGGTCGTGCTGGTGCTGGGGTGTGGTCGTGCTGGGGTGTGGTCGTGCTGGGGTCCTGCTGGGGTGTGGTCGTGCTGGGGTGTCGTGCTAGGGGGTAGAAAAAACAAATTCTGAAAAACAAGCGTTTCGCTCGAGACATCCTCGACAAATTCTGAAAAACAAGCGTTTCGCTCGAGACATCCTCAAATTTTAATTCGCGGGCGCTCAAAAACAAGCGTTTCGCTCGAGACATCCTCAAATTTTAATTCGCGGGCTCGTTATTTATCAGGGAAAAATTCGCCGGCCTCCTTCGACCTCGTTATTTATCAGGGAAAAAATTCGCCGGCCTCCTTCAAGCAGGCACCGGGGGACAGGTTTACCTACTAAAAGAGAACCCTGGGCTTAAGCCCTTTCCGGGAAAAAATTCGCCGGCCTCCCTCAAGCAGGCACCGGGGGACTAGGTTTACCTACTAAAAGAGAACCCTGGGCCCGCGCCCTTTCCGGGAAAAGAACCCTGGGCCTGAGCCCTTTCCGGGAAAAACGCCCGCCAGTCATCCGTTAAACTATTGCCAACATTTCAGCTTCAGGGCCATAAGTGGTAAGGAAATCTCATGCGAAACGCCCAGCCCGTCATTCCGATTGGCTTTTGGGTACGACAGGGAGAAGTTATTCAGAAAGAAAAGTAATGGAGGAGGAGGATGTGGAGGTGGAGCAGGAGGAGGAGGAGGAGGAGGAACGGAAGGAACAGGAGGATATGGAGGAGGCGTAGGAGGATGAGGAGGACGAGGAGGAGGAGGAGGCGGAGGAGGAGGAGGAGGAGGAGGAGGAGGAGGAGGAGGAGCTAGGAGGAGGAGGGAGGAGGAGGAGGAGGAGGAGGAGGAGGAGGAGGAGGAGGAGGAGGAGGAGGAGGAGGAGGAGCAGGAGGAGGAGCAGGAGGAGGAGGAGGGGAGGAGGAAGAGGAAGAGGAGGTGGGGGACGCCCCGCGCGCAAGGCAGCCGCGGACGGGGAGGAGGCGGGCGGGGTCAGCGCTGAGGCGGAGGAGGCTGACAGGAGAGCCCGCAAGCCGAGGCGGCGAGCCAAGGACGGGCTGTCGTACCAGGAAGTTGGGCGCACATGACGCGGTTGGTCTGGGCGAGAGCACATGCGGCCAGATGCCTTTCCAGCGCTTGCCCTTCTGAGGCCGGATACGCTGGACGCCAGGCTTCCGCGAATGTATCCAGCACGTGGCCTCCGAATGCTCCGCACGTGAGTACAGCCATATGTGCTTCCAGCTTCCTGGTCGACAAAACGCCCCTCAGCCGAGGGCGATATGTCGGTACCATCACCTTCCCTTCCCTCGTTTTCGCTACGCTGGGCCTGCAGCGGGGCATTCGCCGCCACGGTTGGATTCGCTCCAGAGTCCTGGTCAGAACGCACCCCGAGATAGGTCAGGAGAGTCGCGGTGTGCGCATATTCTCTCGCATCCCAGACATAAGCAGGCACGTTCGCAGTTCCTCGCGAGTTTCTTCGGTCCGCGCTGGGCCCCCTCCCCGCACCTCCTCAGCGCCTATGGCGCCGCCCCTGGGGCGCTCCGTGGGCCAGGGAAGATGCGTGGGGTGGGGGGGAAGGGGCTTAAGGAGCGGGGTCCAGCGCCAGTCCAAGAAATTCGAGCGGGCCTCCCGCAGTGTATGCATATGTCGTAGTTTTCTGCTCCATGTCGCCAAGCGTCTCGTGCTTTGCCTCCTTTCCTTTTTTCTCCGACCCGTCCCTCCTTTCTCTCCCTCCTTCCAGCCTGCCCTCCCTCCTCCAGCCTTCCTCCCCCATCCCTCATGTCTTCTCCCCCGCCCGTGATCTCTTATCCTTAGGGGCTTCGCCCTCTGCCTCCGCCCTCCGTCCCATCATGATGGAAGATGTCAGAGCCGTGTCGGGGTGTCTGGGCGCCGTCTTGAAGATGTCTGGGAACATCAGGTGGGGACAGATCGGACTCAGCAACACATATTGACATGGTGGGGCTGTTGTTGAACATGGTGTTCCGTTCTTGGAGCGCTCCCCGCGCGAATCTTGCGTAATTGGCAGGAGGATTCTCGGGAGCGCGAGCCTGGCGCGCGATTGTTTCTATGATTTGCAATCGACTCTGGTGTCGGACGCGCGAACCTGGTGGAATTCACAAGCGTTTGCGTCCTCGGGAGGGCGGATCTGGTGCAAATTACAAAGGGTTCTGGCCTAAGGAACGTGAGCCTGGCGTACTTCATAAAGGATTATTGCTTCGTGGGCTCGAATCTCAGGTATGAGAGAGCGCGCCCTGGCGCACTTCCCAAAGGGGTGGGGGGGCCTTAGCTGCCCCCCCTCCCCCCCTTGGACCTGCCATGCCAGAACCCCCTTCCCTTTGTTTTTCCGCCCCTCGGAAGGTAAGCCCGCCCCTCCCTTTCGCGGCGCTCTGGAAGCTACCCCCCCGCTCCCTGTCCAAGGGGAGGGGGGCCTTGCTACCCCCCCTTTGAACCTCCCCTGCCGGAAAGCCCCTCCCTCCTCCTTTTTTCCGCTCCTCGAGATTCTCCCCCCCCCTCCCTCCTTTCGCGCTCTGGAAGCTACCCACCACCCTCTCCCTTTCCCAGGGGGGGGGGGGGGGGCATAGCGGCCCCCCTCCTTGAACCTCCCCTGCCGGAGCCCCCCCCTCCCCCCTTTTTGGGCTCAAGGGGGGGGGCGCTTGGAAGCCCCCCGCCCTAGCTAAAGAAAGGAGTGCCGAAGACCTAAAGAGCGCCGAAAACCAGCCGAGCGCCGAAAACCAAAGAGCCACCGAGAACCGAAACGGTGCGAAAACCAGAGAGCGCCGAAAACCTATGAAGCGTCGAAACTGAAAGGACACCGAAAACCAAAGCGGCGCCGACAACCATGGAGTGAGCGACGAGAACCAAAGGAGCACCGAAACCCAAAGGAGCGCCAAAGACCAACAGGGCGCCGAAAACCAAATGCGCGCCGACAACCACAGGGGGGCCCAAAACCAAAGGAGCGCCGAATACCAAAAGAGCGCCGAAAAGCAAAGGGGCGCCGCAAAACGACGGGCGGGCGCCGAGCACCGAACGAACGCCTAAATCCAAAGAGGCGCCAAAAACAAAAAATGGCTCTGAAAACCAGCGGGGCGCCGAAAATCAAAGAGACGCCGAACACCAAAAGAGCGCCGAAAACCAGAGCAGCGCCGAACACGAAAACCTGAAAGTACCCGAACCCAAAAGGGCACCAAGAACCAAAGGGTCGCCGAACTTGAAAGGACGCCGGAAACCAAAGGGGCGCCGAAAACCAATAGAGAGCTGACAACTAAAGGGTCGCCAAACACCAACATGGCATTGAACACCAAAACGCAGCCGACAACCAAAAGAGCATCGAATATCAAAACGGCGCCGAAAAACCACAGGAGCGCCGAACAACAAAGGGGCGCCGAAAACCACAAGGGCACCGAGAACCAAAGAAGCGCCGAAAAGCGAAAGGGCGCCGAAGGGGGCGCAGAAACCACCAGGAGAACGAACACAAACAAAGCGCCGATCGAAAAAAGGTGCGCCAAAAATCAGAGAGGCGACGGACACCAAAAAGACACAGAAACCATAAGTACACCGAAAACCAAAGGAGCACCGAAAACCAAGAGGGCGCCGAATAGCAAAGGGGCGTCGAACACCCGAGGGGTGCCGAAAACACAAAGAAGCGCCGAAGACCAAAGATGCGCCGAAAACCAAAAGGGCGCCGAATAATCAAAGTGGCGCCGATTACCAACAGGGCGCCGAAAACGAAAGGGGCGCCGAAAACAATAGAAGCTCCGAAGACAGACAGGGCGCCGAAAACCAACAAAAGGGCGCCGAAAACCAAAGGGGCGCTAAAAACCGCAGGAACGCCGAACATTCAAGGAGCGCCGAACACCAAAGAGGCGCCGAAAACCCAGGGAGCGTCGAAAACCGTCGATGCGCCGAAAACCAAAAAGACCGCCGAAAAACCAAAGACGCGCCAATAACCAAAAGGGCGTCGACGACCAAAGAACGCAAAAAACGAAAGGAGCGCAGATAGCCGAAGGGAGCCCAAAACCAAAGAGGCGCCGAAAACCAAAGAGCGCCGAAAACCAAGTCGGCGCCAGAAGTTAAAGGGGCATCGAAACCCAAAAGGGCGTCGAAAACCACGAGGGCGCCGAAAATCAAAGGAGCGCGGGAACACAAGAGGGCGCCGAAAACCAGAGGGGCGCCGACAACCATGGAGTGAGCGCCGAAAACAAAAACGGGCGCCGAAGACCAAAGGAGCGCCGACAACAACAGGAGCGCCGAAAACCAAGCCAACGGCCCAAAACGGGCCGAAATCAAAGAGGCGCCGAAAACCAAAGAGACATCGAGAACCACAAGTACGCCGCAAACAAACGGGGCTCCGAAAACCAAAGAAGAAGAGTAGCTTCGAATCCCCCCTTCAGCCAGGGCCTTGCAATTGGACAAGCCAACAGGAGGAAGGGACGGGGCGTGTGTTTCGGAAGCCCCCCCCTATGGAAAGGGGCGCCCGGGCTTACCCCGGGCCCCGAAAAGGAGGAGGGGGGCAATTAGCTTCCAAGCCTCCCTCTTTTAAGCCAGGGGCCCCCCGATTACAAAATCCAAACGAAAGGAAGGAGCGGGGGGCGGGGGTGAGCTTCGGAAGCCCCCCCCCCTTTGAAAGGGGAGCCCAGGCTGACCCCGCGCCTCGAAAAGGGGGGAGGGGGGTAGCTTCCAAGGCCCCTCCCTGTAGCTAGGGTCCCCCCCAAACAAGACCAACGAACCCCCAGGTCGCCCCGGCGCGGCCTCGCCCGGCACCCACTATCGTCTTCATAAACAAGTGAGACTCCTTAAGGCAAAGCCAGCGCGGGGAAACATATACAAAGCAAACCGTTGGGCGCTCGGCGATGCTGGGTTGAGGACCATGAGAGCCAAGCTTCTGGGCGCCCATGTGCGCTTCAGGTCGGCACGCGTGACAGGCATACTTTAAGTCGAAGAGGGGTGTGATCGCATACTTTACGTGGAAGAGGGGTGTGATTTAAGTTCGGGTTCGCAAACATCGTTCTTGTCCGATGCTTCCTGCGGTCGCCCCCGTCCTCTCGGGTTGACAGAGGTGTTCCTGGCCCAAGCTGACAGCTTGAAGCTGTGCCCAGCTTTCCGACTCATTCCGCAGCCCCTGGTGCCCTGGGCCTCGTCAGGCCTGCTGGAGGCCGTGGCGGCCTCCGAGGACATCTTGGGGATCCCTTGGGCCAGGGCCACCTCTGGCCACGGCCGATCCTGGTCCATGGTCACAGAAGTGCCTGAGGCATTTGGCCTGATCTCCGTCTCGAGGATGCCACCCCCCCATCGGTGCAGCCGGCAGTCGTCAACGGCGGCTATCCTGTGGCAAACGCGAAGTGCGTGGACGAGACCACTACGTGCCGCACTTGTGGAGCAGCCTTCGACAGCCGGTCCAAGTTGTTCGCACACATAGAGAAGAGCGGCCATGGTATAATCAAAATGACCGAACCGACTGGCAAAAAGGGTAAGACCAAGAAGCGATGAGGCGGGGCGATTGCTAGATCGCCCGCGACTGTCGCATGATCTTTGGCACAGTGCAGCCGGGCTCCCGTTCCAAGTTTCACGCCGCTACTGCTTACAGCGTCAAGATCAGGCTGGGCCATCATCAATCATCGCAATCTTCTCTGTGTCCATCTGTAACCGTTTAAATTGGAGCAATGAGTCAAGATTTGGTGACGGGAGAGGATGGAAGTGAAGCCGATTTTAGAAGGGAAAACGGAAAGAGGCGGAAGGGGTGCGAGTTCTCTGTGCCTACAGCAGGCTCGTGGTCATCGCATAGACGTCGGCACGTGGGATGAGACAGACCGGTCCATGTCCATCCACTTGTAGCGCCCAGCCGGGCCAGCGAAGGCGGCGGATAAGGAACGTTTTCCTTGGGGGCCACACCCAGGTGAGGGGGAGAAAGGATGGGGGAGGAGGGGATAGGGGGAGGGGGAGAAGTGGAGAGTGAGGGACGAGCGGGGAGTGGGAGTGGGAGAAGAGGGGTAGGTAAGGCGGAGATGCCTCCTGGGGCGATGCCCGAGGAGAAGCAAATGGAGGTACGGGACGAGGGTTGTTATGTGATGACAAGTAAGAGGAAGATCACAGAGGAGGAAAGGGAGGCAGGGAGGGAGGAGGAGGATGAGGAGGAGGAGGAGAAGGGAATAATCAGAGGAGGTGAGCTGGGTCAGCGCTCTGAAACCGTCAAGACCCTCCAATTCACTCCTCCTTTTACCTCCACATGGGGAGGGCAGACTTTTGCTTCCCGCCTCCTTCTCCTCCTGGAGAAGGGGGAGCACCCTACAATAATCCAAAACCTATCCTGAAGCTTCTGTATTTCACCCTCTGCATGTCCTCTGGCTCGGACGGGTCACGACTCTGGTTGCCCATCCCCTTTGCGCCCTGCCCGCGCCTCTGCCTCTCTCTGTCACTCTTTCTTTTTTCAGTTTCTTATATATATATATATACGTAGCACCCCGCAATTGCGGATAAGAGTGAGGGGGCGGGCACGGGCGACGCGGGCGTCGAGCCGGCGGACCTCGTGGCCCTCACTTTCCCTGTCGATGGCGCCTTCTTTTGCCGCCATGTCGTCCAGGACGCCCTGCGTTTTCAAAGAAGGAGTAGGAACTCCAGTTGTCACGCATACTAAGTTGCTTTGCCCGCGCGGCAGACCAGACTGTTGGATCTGGCCAAACAGAATTGCTTCTCAACCTTTCTGTAAGTGCGGTCTCCCTTGGCATGGGAAAAGGTCCCAGCCACTACCGCCTCCTCCGCCACCGCCCGTAGCAGTGAAGATTGGGCTCGAAGAAAAGCCCACTGCTGAGGTAGCATCTGGCAGTGAGAAGATTCAGTCCAAAGATAAACCAATTGGTCAGGTAGATGCCGACAGTGAGAGGGCGCATTCATCACCGCCGCCTCTAGTGGCAGTGAAGTCTGATTCCAAACTCAAGGCCACTGGCCAGGTAGAACCCGACAGTGAGCAGGGCCAGGATTTCAAAGTAAGGCATCAGTGCAAGTTACTGATCCCAGATGTCTTCCAGCAGTACGAACCCCAAATGTTGGAGCAGTTGGACATGTTCTTGGACAAGTACAGGGGAAACGCGTATCTTTATGTGGCAGTGTGCGATACATTCAACGTCGAATCTAAGGTGAAGGTTCAGATCTCTAAGGTGGACAATAAACTTCCAGATGTATTGGACAGCGGTAGTGATTCCGATTCACCTTCTGTCAGTGCAAAACATGTCGACCGTCCTCGTTCGACTTCTCCAGAGCACGCTCGTAACCGTGCAAAGGTTGGGCACAGTGACGCAGCCCCCTCCAATGATTCAGCCCCTTCCAATCCAAGACTTCTTGAGCTCAAGTGTGGTCTCCAGGCTATCAAGATCAAGCACCTCCATCAGCAGCTGGAGACACTCCAGGTGGAGCTCAGTCGTGTAAAGAATCAAAACACAGCTTCAGGCAGTGCGCCTGTTCCTCGGGGGAGCAGATCCAGCTCAGGCTCCTCTTCTTCAAAGGAAGTGGAGAATCAAGTGTCAATGGTATCACCCATGCCAGTCAGTTCAGCGGCAGTTTATATTACATCGTGGGCAGAATCGGCTAATTTGTTTATGGCTTAGTTGAGCGAAGTATATATGGCTACAGGTTCTTGGTATAATCCTCAACCTTTTGTGTTGGTCAGTTCTCGCGTTTGGGAAGGACATTCGTCAGCTACCCAGCGTTCTTTAACCTGCACGCTTCGGTATCCTTTTGGCCAGACTGGCAGCACTGTGAAGCAGGTAGGTTTCCCTTCTTCATTTTTCTTTGTCAGGCGCTAGTTGGGGCAGCTGCAGCTCAGCCCAGTTTACCCCGCTCTCTCCCGCCAGACAGCGCATGGAATTGGCAGCCAGGGCTAAGTTGCAAAACTCTGCCCTCTCCTGGCGGGTCGTGCCATGGCAATGCCATGCCTGAAAACCCGAACCTGCACGTTGGCGTCCAGGGGATGCTTGTGTCTGGGAGGCGAAAGGTTGGGTGGGCAGCCTTACTCTTATCAGGGGTCCAGGAAAGTCTGGCGAAGTAATCCCCTAGTCTTTCTTTTCTTCATCCCTATATGGTGGGAAGGTCAGGTCTCGCTTTGCTCGGTGGTCAGCCCATTAGATTGTGGGAAGTGAGTTGCCCCATCGCTTAGCAGTTGATATCCTCCCCCTCCCTTTCTCCAACCATCCTTTTCCTCCTCCTCCTCCTCCTCCTCCCTCTGGGCGTCTCCCTACGCAACATCCGGCATCTGACCTCGCCTGGGAGAATGCTATTTTAGCAACGGCTCTCAGTTTCTATATCTACCACGTTGCCAAGGAGATGGCTTCGCATCGAGACGGACGCCCTTTAACTCTCCCGCAGCAGCTCGATGCTTTGAAAGCGGCATTTGCCAACATGCCAGGCAATTGCTCGATTCTACCCCCTCCGCCCAATGCGGCTAGGCCATGCAGCTGGCTCAGGCCGAGGCGTCGAGGCTGGGCTCGACCGACTCGCTGAAGCTACTGGCGCTCCTCCTCCCTCTGGGGCAGGGTTCGGTTGCCGAATCGGAACCAGCAGCGCCCCAGGCAAAGGTCTGGGGGTCAGCTGCTGTCCGATGAACGCGCCTGGCTTTAGTTCACCCCGAAGCGAATGCCAAAAATGTCCTGTTCCGCGTTCGCGTCCTCATCGTCGTCGTCGTGCTCCGACAAGTTCAGCGCGGGGGGGATCGCTGGTGGGCCACCCGGAACGAATGCAAAAACAGCCCGCCGCAGGCGCCGAATTTTTGGTTTGTTCAGTGAACGTCGTTTGGGTCGCGGGTGGGTCGGGGGCTCCCCACCTCCACTTGGGACAAAATTCAAAAACAGCCAGCCGCAGGCGCCGAACATTTGGATTTGTACACTGAACGCGGTTTGGGTCGCAGGTTCTCCACCTGGAGCGAATGCAAAAGAAACCCGCCGCAGGCGCCGAAGTTTTCATTCGCTCAGTGAACGTAGTTTGGGTCGTGGGTGGGTCGCGGGCTCTCCACGTCCATTTGGAAGGGATTCAAAAACAGCCCGCCGCAGGCGCCGACCATTTTGCTTTGTACACTGAACGCGGTTCGGGTCGCAGGTGGGTCGCAGATTTCCCGCCTGGAGCGAATGCAAAAGAAGCCCGCCGCAGGCGCCGAAAATTTTAGGTGGGTCGCGGGGTGGGTCGCGTGTGGGTCGCGGCGGGTCGCGGGTGGGTCACGGGTGGGTCGCGGGTGGGTCGCGGGGCGGGTCGCGGGTGGGTCGCGGGTGGGTCGCGGGTGGGTCGCGGGTGGGTTGCCGGGGGGGTCTCGGGGTGGGTCGCGGACGGGTCGCGGGGTGGTTCGCGGGTGGGTCGCGGGTGGGTCGCGGGTGGGTCGCGGGGTGGGTCGCAGGTGGGTCGCGGGGTGGGTCGCGGGTGGGTCACGGGTGGGTCGCGGGGTTGGTCGCGGGTGGGTCGCAGGGCGGGTCGCGGGTGGGACGACGGCAACAACAAACAACAAACAACAAACCTCAAACAACAAACAACCAGCAACAATCAACAAACAACAATAACAGCAACATCAACAACAACAATCATTTTAAGACCGTTCGCCCTTATATGCTCGAGTGTCCAATAACACGTGTTTCCCAAACCCTCGATACCCGCCCTCTTCGTCTTCGATCGAACCCCTTTTGGGGGGTATACCTTTCTTCCCTGCAGGCCGGGCCACGGCAAGCGGCGGGGCGGCCGCGGACCGTCGGCCTGGCCAGCGGCAGCGCTGATCGGCGGGGCGGCCGCGGACCGTCGACCCGACCCCAAGAGGGACGGACAGGGGACCGACCACGACGACGACGACGACGACGACGACGACGACGACGTCGAAGACGACGGCGACGACGACGCGACGACGAGCGAAAGCGAGAGCGTGAGAGAACGACAGCAGGGCCACGAAGGGCACGAAGTAGGCCACGAAGGGCGACAGCGGGGACACGAAGGGAATGCGTATGGGGCCACGCAGAGTGCGAACGAGCGGGGGCCACGAAGTGCAGATAATGCGGGGCCACAAAAGGCAACTATGGGGCCACTGAGGGTAGCAACTGGGCCACGTAGGACAATGAGGGGGACACAAATGGCGACAGCGGGGCCACGTAGGGCATGCACATGGGGCCACGACGGGCGCGACTCCTGGGTGCCTGGGTGTCGGGAGCGCGGCGCTTGGCCATTCGCGCGCTTGGCGCTTTCGCTGGAGATCCCTATAGGGCCGCCGACGTGCGAATGATGCGCCGAATTTGTCATTTCGCGAAGGGCAAAGGCAAGGATGGGAGGAGGGAGGGAATGGAGGAGGAAGGAGGAACGTGGGGCGGTGTCTCTCTTCGAAGCGAGGACCCAACACCACAGGATATGGTTGGGAAGCGCACCAACGGTTGTGCAACATTCGTCTGCACAAACTGAGCGCACGCGATCTTGTGAATCCTTGTCAAGCCGTAGGTGTTTCAACTTCCTGCAACGTGGCCCACGCGGGCCTCTCGCGCTGCCGCGTCGAATTCATTCGGCGCCCTTTCGGGCCTGGTGGGGAGCAGGCCCACGGTCAAATATCACCGTGCGGGCCGCTCGCCCGCGTC